AGAGCAGTCCAGAAGGAGTCCTTGGCGTTAACATCACCGCCCGCGGTGGTGCGGACAGTTTCCGTGGGGGCGTACCCCACCACGAAAGTTACTCCGCAGGTGCGGCCAATTTGTAGACGCACCTTCATCAGCCTCGGGCTAATGCACTCCACCGTCCTACCTTCCTCGCCCACACTCTCCCACATGGCCTCCTTGATCGCTATGCCCACACCGTGTACGCCCCTCTTGTCCTTGGTGCCAGCACGGGCGCCACTCCAAATGATCACGTACCCGTCGTGTGCAATTGAGCCTTGCCCCGCTCGTCGGGTCTCCTGAAGTCCTATCACATCACAGCCGGTCGCGGAACAAATCTGCATGACCGTCATCACGTTGTGACCGATGGGGTTCCTACCGCTGTAGGCGAGCGTGCGTACGTTGAACGTGCCGAACGATAGGTCGCCCTCTCGTGCCTTCTTCTTCGCAGCTGCCTTGACGGCCGCTGCGGTCTCGTGTCTCTCTCGGTCCACCTCGCGTTGCGGGTGTGCTTTCTTCCGTCTTTTCCGAGCGGCGAGTTTCCTCGCATCAATCCATCTCTGCAGAGCTCGGTTCTTGCCTGTGGTGTTTTGACGAGGAGGGTGCAGCACTCCCTCCCCGTGTCGTTGCCCCGCTCACGTTTATTTTGATGTATGTGGTGCGTGATCTGATCGAAGGAACACGGTCATTTTTGGCAAAACGACGCCTAGACTTATCATATTTGCAGCGCGACTGGGGCATAAACGTGGCCGCATCAGCCTCACAGCATCAATCATGGACATCCTCCCAGTGGTTCGGTCCACCCTAACACAACCGTTGATGCCAATCGCGCGCAATGCTTTTGTGAGCATTGATGTATGGAGCATTGTGTCGACTACTTGCTCGACTTGCTGCGGTGGCTGTGGCTGTGGCGGTGGCTGGAGTTGGAGTTGTTCTGTTTGGCCTGAGGACCGAACGCTCTCGACACGCTCGCGCAGCGCCTCTTTGAACGCATTCCCCGACTCCTCACGCCATTTGCGCCACGGAGGCCCGCTCATTTTATCGAGAATCTCGTAGCACAGCTCCAGCGTCGCGGCACACGCGAGGCGCCCATTCATGAAACGCGTGGACGTTTTCGGGCCGTTGTAATCCCCGAGGACGCGGTGCACACTGTTCTGAGAATACCGCTGTCGCTTAGGTTCGGTATGATGTTCTTGATCATAGATTTGACTGCGACGTCTCCGCTGCGTGCGTCGATCACGATCTTTATGTTGTTGTTCATGATATTTGCTTGGTTGCTGTACCGGCCCGCTATGAAAAGTTCCAATTTTTTTTCGATAATTCTACTTACGTCACCTGTGGAGAACACCTTCATACATAGTCAAGGTTGAAACTGCCCATCGTCTGTCGAGGACGAAACCTCTTTTCCACACTCTTCCTTCTTCCCCTCGCTCCTCGACAAGCTTTTGCTTAGACATGGGTTGTAGTGAAGGGGGGGGTCTTTCTGGCGAGCAGGGCTAGACTCACCCTCAAGGGATGACCGAAACCTTCTTGCTGCTGCGCATATCCGCCGCGAGGCATGCGCGTGGTGGTGTAGTTGGGTCGGCACTGATGGGGTCAGGC